TGTATGAAATAATATACCCCTGTATTTGTGGTTTACGAATCTACCTTGATTTTGTTTATTATTCCATATTATATTTGTTTATTGTTTAATCCGCCTTCTTCTTTAGGGGCATAGTTTACAATCGTGTATCAACTAACGTGGCTCAGTTCGTAAAATGCGGCTGTTTTTTCATTAGAAAAAATTGGTCGAAGGTTATTACGACTTCCCTGGTTTCAGAAGGGTAAATAACACCCCCTCATTCCCTGCGACTCGAGGGTGTAAATTCCAAGAAGACGGTCTGAACAAAAGTGGACAATATGAATTATATTTAAAGCCAATAATCAGTGGGAAACAATGTATTCTTAATACAAAGTACTTGTTTAACTTATATGTTTTGTTTACGTTTATGCTTCGAAAGAATTCGACCATTAACACGTGATATCGTATCAGCGCCGGCATTGAAGTACGTAACGGTGGCATTACATGCATGCATATGTATTAAAAGAAACTGACATTTGATTGATTATGTCTCTTCAACACAGAAGAGAGGAGCAATTAATTAAGTAAGCATACTCGGTTCTTTTTACCCAAAAAGTAGGTATACCTAGATAATAGCAAAATAGTACAAGAACAAAATGACTTGACTGATTAGTCACCGTGTATAAGCAAATTTAAAAAATATGAATGAAATGATAAATTACAAGTATAGACTGATCCTATTTTGTACATTTTAGATAGGATTTATTCGGCAAAATTTTTAGATGACGTCATAAGTTTTTTGGGGTTGGTCCACAGATACATTTTGATTAAAAGGTTACCATGCTTAGAATAACGTCTGCAAGATTTCAAAGTATTCAGTTTTGCAATTCTTGATTTAATGAATAACATAAATTGACTGATTCATTTTTTTTTTGAGTCACCGCGTATAAGAAAATCTAAAAAATATTAATGGAATGATAAATTACAAGTATTGACTGATCATATTTTGCACATTTAAGATATGATTTATTCAGAAATATTTTGAGGTAACGTCATCAATTTTTTTAGGGGGGATGATCAAAAATTTACCATGATTATGATAACCTTAAAACATCTCCATAATATCAAAGCATTCGGTTTTGCAGTTCCTGATCTTAAATCTAAATCAATAAACTAAATTTACGCATTCATTAAATTTTTTGGGTCAAATAGCAAAAGGTTGTTTCCTCATTTTGATCTTTTTTTTTCAAAAATCTGGATGTTTCGGGTAAGAATTCAATTTGGAGTCATAGACTACATGGGTTGGATTATGTTATTTTATACAATTTAAAACACATTTATTTACTATGTATAATTTTGAAGTAACGTCATCACATTATTGGTGGGGATGATTAGACAAATTTTGGTTAGTGTTTTACCATCTACATGATATTCCTAATATAAATACAAAATTGGACAACAATCGGCCCAGTAGTTTCGGAGATTATCTGTACGGGACGGCAAACAGATGGACGGACAGACAGACGGACAGACGGACAGAAGGACAAATAGACAGACAGATGGAAACGGGAGACCTAAAAGAAAACGTAAAAGTAGATTGTCGGTCGACGGACTCGATTACAAAAATAAATTTAATAAAATTAATCACTCTCTAATTTTTTATTGATCAAATTAACAACGAGTTATCTTCGCATTTTCTCGAAAATTTGAGAATACAGTAATGTTGCGTCCGCCTATATTTAATAATAATAAAATAAGAATTGTTAAATGGACCATACGAATTCTGACTGGATTAAAAGGGAAACAATTATGCAGGCAAGAGTTCAGAGATCTGCGCCTTTAAAAGTCTCGAGCACTTGAAAGTGATTATAACACTATGTACTTTCAAAGAGATTTAGATTACAATATCTGTACATTTTTAATAATTTGCTCAAAAAAATTAAACAAGCATTAAATATGTTCACTTTTAAGTCAAAAATAAAGTCGCTTTTATTACATTTAAGTTGTTACACAATGGAAGTTTTTTTTTCAAATTCTAAATGAAATGATGATGTGTATCTGTAGTTAGACAATTTCTTCTAATTGTAAGAGTTATCTCTTGGGTTCACACTTATTTGTGTTTGTGTAATTTAATTTGAAAAAGCAATCAATTATTATTATATTTGATCATAATACCAGCTACTTACTCAAAATAATATTCGGCGTTTTGTCTCATTATTGTAGCTTGATCAATGATTTTAGTTACCTCCTCTGTTTGAGAGACAAAATCGTCCCAATCAGGCAGATTACATGTTTAATCATCGCATTCTTTTGATATATAAACATAAACAATTGAAGTTAAAGATGTACTGATAAAAGAAAATTGCCGTTGGTTCCAACTTTATATATTTCTCATTTTTCACCCTTGTGCCTCATTGGAATTTAAAATGTACTTCAAGGGAGAGGGAAGTTCTATCGAAATTTCTTAATTTTTTTATTGGAATGTCCATTACAATCACGTTATTTGGTGGTGGGTTGAGTATAAGTTTAGTTTCAGATCACTCCTTAAAGACATCTGCGCACATGTCTTCCAGTAGAATCAAAATTAATATTTCGCTTGTATACAGAGCACCAACACATGAACAAAACAACTATAAAGATTTAGAAATTAAGAGAAAAAGAAACCATACGGAGACGATAAGTTTATCAGCAATGAATGGAGGCAGATGAAGAATTTAGAAGAATTCTGGTAGATCCAAAAATATTAAGTATGTAAACAGTGTTGCTTGATGGGACCAGGACACCAAAGACGAAATTAAAAAAAAAATGGAAAAGTGCTTTAAACCAAAAAATGAAACAGTTTTATCAAAAGTACAATAATTGGTTTAATTTTATTTAAACGGAACTTCATCCGCTCTTGCTATCCCTTTTTATTTAAAACAAATTCGTCACTGTTGTTACTGCTATTATAAATAAAGTGAAAAATAATTTTTGAAAATTAAATACATACATCACAAAACAGCCTGGTATGTTTAAATTAATATTGACTATTGAAAAATGAACTTGTAAATAATAATAAATATGATAAGGTGCTTTTAAATACTTCTAGTTCTTAGACTACCTAGATTCAGAATATTTTGTCTGGATCTCTAGATTAAAAAAACAAAACGGAGTCATATACCACAAATATTAGAATATGTTATTTCATAAAATTAAAATCACGTTTACCATGCAAAATTTTGAGATTACGTCATCAAATTGGTTGTTTTTTACCATGTACACGATATACCTAAAATACAAATAGGCAGTTTCCGAGATTATCTATTTAATAAAAATTGACACAAGTGACACACAGACAGACGGCAAATAGGCGGAAACGCAGGATCTGCTTTTCTATACTCTAGAGGTCATGAAACGTCGAAAAAACATGAAATTAACCATTCGTCAGAGGGATCATATTCAATACTTCCTTCGCTTACGCTTGGAAAATCAAAGTTGGAGAAAAAATTAAAGTAGAAAAAAAGTTATCATAGTAGCAATTTGGTCTAAAAGTGTAAGAAGATAACCTAAGAAACGCCAAACTCCTAACCAGAACCTTAAAAAACCTTAAGAAACGACAAACACAGAAGTTTATAAACTATAAAGGACCAAGACGGAAACTTAACGCTAATTGATGAATGACGATATAACTAGTAGAAGGCAAGAAAACTGTTAATTTAACGGAAAACAGTATTAGGTAAAGACGTACTACACAAAATGACGAACTTAACATGGAACAAAAGAAAAGTAGAAATAGAATTAGAAAACAAGATTTTGGGAATCAGTTTTTGGTCAGTTTTCAAAACTAGTTACAAGAGGGTTCATTTTCAAGTGAAATTATATCAAGTCTGGACACATGTTTTTTCACAGACGAATCTGGTCTTTCTCTGTGTGCTGCTGACAATCGTAAGCGATTATGAAGAAGGCCAGGAGAAAGTTTTGCTCATTGTGACCTAACTTCAAATATCATCTCCCTTACAAAAAACAAAAAGGTTATTTCTTAATGTTTCTACAACATGTTGGATCTGAAAATATATTACAGATAAAAGTAATCTGTTTGACAAGAAGTAGTTGTAATGTTGTCTTAAAAGTGACTTTAAATGTTCAAAACACAGTGTTGGGGAATTTTTTTTGCACTGAGAAAATAATGACTTTGACTTGTTAATAACTTTTGTCAAGTTATGGCTTGAAGCAAGCATTCACAAGCTTCTAATTAGGTGTACAAGAATTGTGAATGAATGTTATCGAATGTTTGAAAAATAATAATATAATTGGCCGAATTTTAATAATGCGAAAGTTTGGGGGACCGATTCGTACTTCATTGTTGGGTACTTTCTCTAGAAAACTTTTTGCGAGGGAAGATAGAAATCAGGATTATCTTCCATAAATTGTTGCTCAAAATTAAACCTTTCTGGTGAAGGTCGGCAATCTGCATAATTTAAAAAATAATAATAAGTGCTGCTCATTTTTGACAAAATGCACGATACGGAAATTGTGGTTATTTCATAAATTTAAAATTTATTTCACATGCAGTTTTCGTGTTTTATATTTCGTCCTAGTCATTTTAAAAATAACTCGTGCTCGGGCTCGAACAGGTAGGTTCCCCGAATTGGGTCGTCCTCGGCCCATCTGTCCGCAAGCAATTACGCACGGCATGATGGGCCAATTTTGCGACATATAGAATATAAACGTCGACGGTCCTCCTTGACCAACATATCTTGGAGAGATTGAGGGAACCGGTAAAAGACGAGGTATAGAGAGAGTATACTTCTTGCAGAACATACAGCAACATTCCTGGCCCTGGTCGCTCAACGGTTTCTCAGGTCGATGGCCGCCCAATACTCCAAGCACTGACTAAATCGGTGTGTAAATAACCCGCGTTCATAAAATGCTAATCGACATGCTCACCCGTAATGCCAAAATGTAGGCAAAGGTGACCTATGAGGGTACCACGATTCGGGAAACCGAAAAATCGGGTTACCCGAAAGCGCGCATCGTTTAGTAAAGTGGAACTAGGGTCTGAACATTATTTAATAGAGACGGTAGCTACAAGCAGGTTATGAACAATTTGTAGCAGTTAGCGTCTTCCATAAATTTCACGTAAGGCTCATTTCCTGTTCTCATTTGTAGCCAGCGTCCACTTTCTTCGCCTCCTCGAATCCATACGACGTCGAAACGGTCTATTATAGGCTTCCTCGCTGAATTATGGGTGCCTTTAGGTGCTTCTAGAGCTCTAGCGCTGCTCCCAGAGAAGCCCAGTCTTTGGCAGATCTGTTCCAACTTCGTCGTGGTAAGGTTTCGTGCGAAACAACCGGAATGCCAAACGCCTGCGGTACGTTTCAAGACTTCCCCACTATGCATGCTACGAAGGGAATAATTAGCAGGCGATGAATACACTAGATAAAACAAGATCTAGTTGAATTACCTCCTTAAACTGGTCTTCAATGAATAACACGGACTTTCGTCTTCGCCATCCGGACAATCTCTGAATCCGTCACACAACATCTCTTGTGAAATGCACAGATCCGTTCTGGAAAAACTCTTTTTATTAACGTTAATAACACGAAATGAGTGTGTTAATGCCTGTGAAAATATCTCGGACGCCTCGAGGGAATACCTCGCAACCGTTTATTAAAAGCGCAATTATTTCGACTAGGATAAATTGTAGTAATAAATATATTATTAAAAACTGTCTTACTCGCCACAGGTGATATTCGTTGGGAATTGACAAGGACAGTTTTTCTCGTCGCCTCGGTCCCGACAGTTTAACGTACCGTCGCAAATTTTTTCAGGATGGACTGTTTCCAAATATGTTCTGCATGAACACTCTTCCGGCTCGTCGTAATTGTCCCCGCAATCATTAATCGTGTCACAAAACGACGATTTCGGAATGCATTTGCCGTTTCTACATTTAAAGTCCGTCCAGTCGCAAGCTAAAATATTGTATTATGGTTTATACACGTGTCTAGAAAAAAAATCGCAAGTATTGTTGGTTGCGTAACAGTTATATGTAGTTTTTTATTCTTGGCACTCTTTAAAATTGCAAACGGGATTTCTGCTGCACTCTAGCGTTGCGTAGCTGTATTTAACTGTTATTTGTACAACTTTCTGCGCAGAACTTACCTGGAAGCTTCGTACAGTTGGTCGATAGATGGCACTCGTGCTCTAGACGTGTACAGAAATCTAGTTCCTCGTCTTCCCCGTTTCGACAATCTGATATTCCATCACACAGAGTGTGATTTTTTATACACTGGCCTAAGAAACATCGGAAACTTTTACATTCTGTAGAATTTACGAAAAGTTGAAGGTCGTTGCCTAAAATATGTAAATATTAACACCCTAATGCTAAAAGTTTGGCACTATTTTGCTGCAGAGAATTAATAAGACAGTGTATCATTTATTTTCCATTAATAACAATTATACGAAGTACTTACGAAAATTACACTGTTAATGAATTACTCAATATCTTTTCATAATAATTATCAAACAGTTATAAAGGAGAAATTAGATATTTAATGAAAATTTAAGGATTAAAATTCACAAAAAATCGAGAATACAAGAATAAGAAAATAGAACAAAGGCAGGAATGTATGGAACCGCACCTGATAGTATAGTGGTCAGTGTACCCGCCTGTCAAATGGGAGACATGGGTCCACATAGTCATAGGGTGGTTATCAAGAATACTAGACATCCGACAAATTAAAAAGGCCTTAATGAAAATGAAGGGACAAAAATCAGACATAATAAGCGATAACTGAACTCTACACAATTTTTAAAAAATCTTCACCACAATGTGTGACATCTGTCTAGTGATTTACATTATTACAATTCTACCACTTTAAATGACTTTACATTTTTTAGTTCAAATTCAGTACCTATATGTATGACAAAGTGTCCTTCTGAATCGTTATCACAAATTATTCCCTTTACTGGTTTTCAGTTTAAACATTTTGCTTTATTTTTAGCACGCTTTTGAATTGTACTTAGTCTTTCTCCTTATCAGGACACTAAATACTATGTTTTTGAATTTTCCAATTTCATATTTTTGAATTTTCCCGTACACACTTTGGTGCGTTTTTTATTTTTGAAAATAGTTGTTCTTTCAACTGTTATGAAAATATCACCAAACATATTGTCGCTACACAATATGACTTGGATAGATAGTTCAGTGGTTAGAATACCCGCCAGGCAGGTGGGAGACGTGGGTTCTAATCCCACTCCGACTGTGATATTTAAATTTGATGTTATGTGGGTAATTTCAAAAAATTCCCTACACAAAAATAAGACAGAAAACTAAAAATTTGGTAGTTTTATGAAGTCTTGTTGTATTATTATTATTATTAAAAGTTGCAGAATATAAACTGATCTTTATTACTCGTAGAAGAAGTGGTTTAGCCACCAGACATTTTACAAAATAAAGCTTTTCTTCAAAAATTGGTCGAAGGTTATTTCGTCAGAACTTCCCTCGCCCCTGAAGTATAATAAAACATACTCAACTTTTTAGAAAATTATGAAGTTCGATTCCCATGCGAATTTTGTTTTTTTTTTAATGAGAATCCTTTTCCTTATGAGTTAAAACAAAGATATGTATGTTACGTAAAAATAAATGTAAAAAGGCGTGCTTAGCATAGATTTCAAATGAGTTTTCCCTTAACAAAATTTTGTGATAATGTTATCAACATATTTGAAACGACACTATATCACTTTGGATAGGTGAAGTATAATACTAATAATAACAATATTATATGCCCAAATTCCCCAGAAAATGGAGTGAGCCGTTCCCGATTTCAATTTTTTTATGAGTCACCCTGTATAATAAATTTAAAAACTTTTGATGCAGGGATAAACCACAAGTATTGACTTATCATCAATTTATTTGGCAAAATTTTAAGATGACGTCATCAATTTTTAGAGGGGGATAAAAACATGTACCATGCTTACGATTAAGTTTACAACTTCTGCAAGATTTCAAAGTATTCGGTCGCGCAGTTCCTGATTTAATCGATAAAATAAATTGACTCTTTCATTAGTTTATTGAGTCATCCTGTATAAGTAATTCTAAAAACATGAGTGCGTTGATAAACCACAAGTATACAGTCAACATATTTTGCATATTTCAAAGAGGATTTATTAGGCAAAATTTTGAGATGACGTCAATTTTTTTGGGAGGGAATAGACGAATAAATTTTGCTTAACGATTTACCCTGATTACGATAACCTAACATATTTACAATTTACATTCCAGAGAATTCGGTTTTGCAGTTCCAAAGTTAAATTGCAAAATATTGTTATACAGTTTTGAACTTTTTCCAAAAATCTGGATCTCTAGGGTGAAAATTCGACACGAATTCACACATCACAAGTGTAGGAGTATCTCATTAAAAAAAATATATACTATTACAAATTTTGAAGAAGGCGTCATCCCTTTGGCGGTGGGGATATTTAGCCAAATTTTTGTTAGCGTTTAAGCGCTATAGTATATTCCTAATATGCATACAAAATTTGACAACAATCGGTTCGGTAGTTTCGGAGATTACGCGTCTAATAAAAATGGACACAGACACCAGACAGGCTGAAAGACAAACAGACAGAAACGGAGGACCACTTTTTTGGTACTCTAGAAGTCATGACACGTCATAAGAGTCAGAGGTTAAGAAAAATAAGTTCCGCCCCCATGAATCGGGAGCGCTGGCCTCTGTGCTATTCAGTTGTGAGTCCCATGCCGTTTATATTTCTATAAAAGGTTGTCAAAATTTGTGTAAAAGAGTGAAAACTCAAGGCTGATTCGTAAACCACAAGTACAAGTATATGTTATTTGATAAAATTTAAATGGCGTCTACTAAAAAAGTTTTAGGTAGACGCTATCAAATTGTCGGTGGATGTGACCAGACAAATTTTTGCTAGCTCTGTAACATCTATGACATTCTTAACATACATATAAAATTTGACAACAATCGGTTCCATACTTTCGGAGATTATTCTCTAATAAAAATCGACACAAACAGAAGGATACGTGGGACTTACTGATTCGTACCCTAGAGGTCATTAAACGTAGAGAAAACATTAAAGTAGCCATTCTTTGGATGCAGCCTATTGCAATACTTCCACAGCTTACACTCGAGAAGTAAAAGGCTATATATTGTCTTTATTGGGTTTACACATGTTTCTGTTAATTTTTGAGAAAATGGTTGCATTCAAGACATGTACGTTATATTCTAGGAACTATGAAACGTCGAACAAACCTGAAATTAGCCATTCATTTTTTGAGGTGATCGAGTTTCTAAAGAAGGTAAAAAATAATATTTGGTTTTTGTGGTATGATCACTAAATTTAGGTAAATTGTAAATCGAAAAATTAAAAATTTGAAAACCAGAGAAACTTAAACCGAAAATCGCAAAATATAAAAACTGAAACAAAAGTTGGAAAATCAAAAACTTAAAAAACTTAAAAATGAAAATTCGAGGAGTTGATCGTGAAATTGAAGAAACAAAAAGATGAAAATTGAAAAATTTCAAATCGAAAAATTGAAGAAATCAAAAATCGAATATTTAAAAAAAATTGTAAATCGAAAAATTGAAAAATTTCGTGTTGAAAAAAAGAAAAAGAATAAAATCAGGACTTTGAATAATCGAAAAATAGAAACAAATAAAGAAAATAAAAATCGAATTAAAAAGTAAAAACTCCAGAAACTCATCGAAAAATCGGAAAATCATAAATTTGAAAATTTTCAAAAATGAAAATTCGTAGTTGCATATCGTGAAATTGAAGAAACAACAAATATTCGAAAAATTGAAGAAACGAAATATTGGAAACATGAAGAACATAAAAGACTGAAACGAAAAATTACAAATCAAAAGTGTGAATTAATGATATAAAGAATTGAAAAATTGAAATCTGGATACTCTAGAAATTTTAAATCGAAAAACTACAAAATATAAAAATTGAAGAAACAGGAATATAAAAACTTGAAAAATTGCAAATCGAAAAATTGAAAAAACGAAAAATTGCAAAATCCAAAATTGAAGAAATCAAAAACCGAATATGTATTTAAAAGTTGAAAAACCCAAAAATTGAAAATCGAAAAATTGAAAAATCTCATGTTGAAAATAAGAAAAATAATAAAATCAATTGAATAATCGAAAAATTGAAAAAATAAAGAAAAATAGAAGAAATGAAAACCAAATTTTAAAATTACGTTGCACATTTTTGTTTTTTTTTCCGTTTTTTCGCAAAAAATTGCACTTCAAATGAATTAGACCCCTAATATTTCGCATACTTTGGGTAAGATTGATCTACAAAAAATTTTAGATGACGTAAGGCTAAACAAATTTTTGTCCCTGAAAGTATGTCCTTATGAGTACCCGAAGTGATGTTATTGTGTAAAGTGACTACGACTCTTGGATCATTAAAATAATAATTACAATATTTTCCAATGTTGAAAAAACCTTGTGTTTGAATTTGTATAAAACTTGCGTTTTGCAACTTGACACAAATTTGGCGTTAAGATAATAACTCTCAATATAAAAACAGAAATAAATAATTAAATTATATTAAACTAAAACGTATATTTATAAATCCGATCCAAGATGCACAGCTCCAAGCGACAAATTGAAAAAATAGTTATATATTTTTTAAATAAATACAATAGTAAAAATCGAGAAAACAAAATGGGGTTAAAACCGAAAATTTGGAAGCCGCGGAAAATGAGGAAGAGCAAAAGAATCTGAAGAAAAAAACTGTGTTATTATAGTATTATGTATATAGGTTCATAGTTTACAAAAATTGACATCTTAAGAAAAGTCGCTACGTTTGGTTCTTATGGTGTTGTCAATATATTTTCAAAATGTAATATCTCCATTATTTACACACTTATTGTTCTAAAATTTTAAATATAACTTATCAACAAATTTCACTATATGTATAACTGCGAGAGCAGTTTTTTTAACAATTTATTACCTTATGTATGTTAAATTTTGTTGAAATTTTTGCATCACGTATTTTAAAAAATTGGTCTAAAGAGTTTATACAGTACTTCCCTCGCTGTCGGAAACTTGACGACTGCATGCCTATTGTGTTTTTTTTCTCATTACATTTTTGTAGTGGGAATTTAAAAAAAAATTGCGATGACGTCATCAACATTTTTGCAAGGACACGTATATCAGTTGGGATAGATGTAGTGTAATACTAAGAATAAAATTATTATATTCTCAAATTTTCGGGAAAATGAATTGGGTCGTTTGAATATTGATTTGTAGTGATCAATAAAATAACGAAACAATTTACTCACGTATACCTACGTATCAGAGGCAACTGAAAATCGTGTATGTATAAACATTCTTAATTTAAGATGACAGGCGTAACAGCATACATGAGAGCCAAACAGAGAAACTGTAAACAAAACGACCGTCGGTTTTATTGCTTCGACTTCCGCTTATTATATAAAACATTGGGTTTTATTTTAATTCTTGACGGTGAAATTCACAATTGGTTGATTATAAACATGTCTATTTCACATTCGCGGAATCAAGTGAACGCATAAAACAAATGCAGGTCTGTAATGTTAAAGTCGATGTAAATAAGCGTGCTACCCTTATGTTTCAACCGAGTTTTTCCTTTAACAAATTTTGTGTCTACCAAATTGGGTTGGTTGGGGTGTAATACTAATAATAAGTGTTGCCTTTAATTTAATCAATAAAATAAATTGACTTCATTAATTTTTTTGAACCACCTCTTAAGAAAATCTAAAAAATATGAATGGAATGATAAATCACAAGTACAAACTCATCATATTTTTTGCATTTTAGATAGGATTTATTCAGCAAAATTTAAGGGTGACGTCATCAATTTTTTTAGGAGGGATGAACAAATACATTTTGAACAAAAGTTTACCATGCTTATAATAACTTTAAAATATTCCCAAGATTTCAAAGCATTCGGTTTTGTAATTCCTGATTAAATCGATAAAATAAATTCACGCCTTCATTAATTTTTTTGAGTCACCCTGCATATGCAAATCCAAAAATATGAATGGAATGATAAATCACAAGTACAGACTCATCATATTTTGTACATTTTAGATACGATTTATTCGGCAAACTTTTGAGCTGACGTCATCAGTTTTTTGTAGAAGATAACCAAATATATTTTGACTAAAAATTTATTATGCTCTTTATAACCTTAAAACATCTGCAAGATTTCAAAGCATTCGGTTTTGTAGTTCCTGATTAAATCAATAAAATAAATTTACGCATTCATTAATTTTTTTGAGTCACCCTGTATATGCAAATCGAAAAAATTTGAATGGAATGATAAATCACAAGAAGAGACTCACCATATTTTGTACATTTTAGATAGGATTTTTTCAGCAAAATTTTGTGGTGACATCATAAATTTTTTAGGGGGGACGACCAAATACGTTTTGATCAAAAATTTACCATGCTTATGATAATTTTAAAATGTCTTCAAGATTTCGAAGCATTCGGTTTTGTAGTTCCTGAGTAAATCAGTAAAATAAATTTACGCTTTCATTTATTTTCTTGAATCACCCTGTATATGCAAATCCAAAAAATATGAAGGGAGTGATAGATCACAAGTACAGACTGATCATATTTTGTACATTTTAGATATGATTTATTCGGCAAATTTTCGAGCTGACGTCATCAAGTTTTTGGAGGGGATAAGCAAATATATTTTGACTAAACATTTATTATGCCCTTTATAACCTTAAAATATCTGCAAGATGTCAGAGCATTCCGTTTTGTAGTTCCTGATTAAATTAATAAAATATATTTACGCATTCATTAATTTTTTTGAGTCACTCTGTATATGCAAATCCAAAAAATATGAATGGAGTGATAAATGACAAGTACAGGCTCATCATATTTTGTACATTTTAGATATGATTTATTCCACAAACTTTTGAGCTGACGTCATCAAGTTTTTGGACGGGATAAGCAAATATTTTTTGACTAAAGATTTATGATCCTCTTTATAGCCTTAAAACATCTGCAACATTTCAAAGCATTCTGGTTAGCAGATTAAAAATTAAATTTCAAAATGTTGTTTTATAATTTTGATTTTTTTTCCAAAAATCTGGACGTTTCGGGTGAAAAGTCGATTCAGAGTTGTAAACTACATGTGTAGGACTATGTTATTTTATACAATTGAAAACCCATTTACTATGTACAATTTTGAAGTGACGTCATCGCATTAGTGGTGGGGATGATTAGACAAATTTTGGTTAGCGTTTTACCATCTACATGATATTCTTAATATAAGTACAAAATTTCACAACAATCGGTCGGGTACTTTCGGAGATTATCTGTCTAATAAAAATCCGGGACAACAGACGGACAGACGGACAGACGGACGGACAGACAGACGGAAATGGGAGACCTATTTCTTCGTCTTCTAGGGGTCATGAAAGATCGAGAAAACGTAAAAGTAGAGAGTCGGCCGACGGATTCGATTACAATACTTCCTTTGCTTACGCTCGGGAAGTAAAAATCAATATTTCAGTTATTTATGGTAATTCTGGAACGGGGTTTTCACCACTATTTTCAGCTTGTAAAAATTTAGAAATCATACTATTTTTTCTATTTTTGACTTTATTTGTTGGGACTGAGATATAGTAAAAATAAAAGTTAGCAACTTCTACGACACAAGCTTTTTTTTTACTGTGTATCGTTTCTAACAAAAAAAGTCGATAATACATCTTGTACGATTTCTCGAGTTTTGTAAGCTGAAAACAGTGTTGAAAACTGTGTTCTGAAATTTCCTTTAATAATTGAGATATTGATTTTTAAAAATACATTATGCAAAAATTTCACTACAATTAAAAGGAAAGTATGATCACAAATTGTTTTTAACAAAATTGCCGTTCCGTTATACCGGGTGTCTAGAAAATGGCGGATTAACTCTTCAGTTAATTTATGTGCGGGGGTTTGAAGAATCCCAAAAAAATAAAAACAGTCTTTATGGTGTAGATTACGAAAAAAATGTAATTTTATAAAAGTAAAATTGGCAATACTGCACGCTGCGTGAATACCTCCGGCTTATTTTCTGATTTCTTAGTAACGATGGTGACTGAAATCAACATTGTATTTTTTTTAGGACAATAACCATAACAACAAGTAGTATTATTAAATAAATAAAAAAACATTTAATAAGACATTTATAAATTATAAACAAAAACAAAACTAACAAAAGAAAAATCCATTAAAGCTTAAAGCATAACCAACCAAACACTAGAGAAGATGTTCAAAATTCCTGCCTTGTGCATGTAAGTGAGCTGGTAATGTTTCCAAATTTTGATATTTTTTTTTGTAAAGGTTAGCCATCACTACTTGCTAAGATAAAACTGATTTTGGGAATAACATACCCTCTACGAAAAGAGAGGGTGGGTGGGCGGGGCTAGTAGCTCTCAAGATAGGACTGATTTTGGCAAATGAGAAAGACAGGGTGGGTGGGCGGGGCTAGCATTTGCTAAAGACATAGAAAAGAGCAAATGACATAGAAAAGAGTTGAGTGAGCGGGGTTAGTAGCTGTTAAAATAAGACCGACTTTGGTACATAACACACCCTCTAAGAAAGGGGAGGGTGGGCGGGGCTAGTTCCTGCTGAGATAAGACTGATTTTGGCAAATGAGATACACTCTAAGAAAAGATAGGGCGGGTGGGTGGGGCTACTACCTCTTTAGATAATATACTGATTTTGGCAAATGCTGTATCCTCTAAGAAATTTAATTAAATTAATATAAGGAAAGACACTAGAGGCTCCAAAGCACTTTCAAATTCTTTCTAAACAGGAATACCAGGTCAGGTCAGAATTTTCCAAAAATAGAACAACAAAGTCCCCCAAAATTATTTTAAGTAATTTACAAAAAAAATCTCCGTGGGCTTCCAAAATAATACACCAAGGGTACCAAAGAGTCCCGAATTAAAAAAAAAACACTGCGACACTGACGACCTTTTCAAATTCATAAAAAATAATACACTAAAAGCTCAAAAGATTTTTTCAAGTTCATCCAGCAACAAAACACCAGATTCCTTTAAATTTATCCGAAAATAAAACAGCAGGGGACCTAAAAACAAATGCTAACATTTTAAACGTAGGGTTTTGAAAACTTTTTTGATACGTCAAACATTTTTAACTGCTTACTGATTCGCTTTAAATCAGCAAACGTTGTCAAATGGAATTTTATCAAATGATCACAAAAACAACACAATCATATCATATTCTAACTGAAATGGTAATTAAACATGGTCATGGGCGAGAGAAATATTAAGTAAAAGTTTTATTAGTAGTTATTATGATATTGAATGTGTTGTTTATTTGTTAAACGTAGCAAAAGAACCAATTTTAAAATCATTATAACTCCACCAAAATGTGAGAAGGAATTTTTTTACTATTATTTTCAGACTCACCAGTTGATCGTTAAGAGCGTAGCGGAGAGTTAATCCGCCATTTTCCAGACACCCGGTATAAAGAAAGTTATATATTTAAAATTTCAAAACTATAAGTCTGGTAATAACGGAGACATTACATTCTGAAAATAGACCGAAAATTCCACTCTGAAAACGTAGCGACTGGCCTTAAGGCTATTGCTGCGATGAAGCGGACAAGAAATAACCCCTATTTTTTCTTTTTTAAAACATTTTATAAAACTCTTACCTATAATATGTAAGTAATGCATGTAATATGGGGTAAAATCTTTGACAAATATTGTCACCAATTTTTCATAAGCGCTACAATTCTTTATTTTACTATTGATATTGACCAGTCGGTGCTACTTTTGTCGACCTCAACGTAATAACAGCCTTAAGTGTAAAGAAAGATGCCATGTGTGAATACAATAAAAGATTAATCAAGCAGGATGGCTTTGAAATGTCTTTTTTAGACATAAATATATATCTGGAATAGAAGCATTTGAGCCTAATATTTATAAGTTGATAGATTTTAAAGATATTTATAATTCTAATGATAGAGAATGAATGTGTGATTCGGAAAGACTAAGCTTTTGCTGGAAGAAAGAATAAAGTATAGCCCAGAATGTGTCCAAATGGCCTAATGTTAATTATACGTAGAAGCTAAATATATTAAGATTCATAAAAAAAATCTATTTTATGTACTTTGAGTACGTTTGTTCCACAAAATGTTAAAATCTCTTTACCCATTGCCAGCTGAGTTTTAACTTCATCGATAACCCGAAACTTATGTCCACTAAAATCGCAAGGCCCTTTTACTCCACCGTAAACGGCAGCCGTGTACCAACCTTCCTTCGAATAACAAACGATTACCCCATTCCAAAGCTCTCGTGTTCGATGCTATTAAAATAACAGTTTACCGAATTCACACAAACACTTCCACGTATTTTACCTCACAATGACCCAATACTTCCTTGAAACATCGAAAACCCACCGAACACTCCTCTTCAGCTTCTAAAACCACCATTTGACTTTTTTTATTCTCAAAACCAATTGCAACACAGTGTTCTTTAATGAAGCGCGACCTGTCAAAAAACTGCGGTTAGGTAATTCACCGAGGTAAGTGTATAAAACATACTTTGCGGTTATTCTTGCCGACTTAACATATCTGTTGAAGCAAATTTTTTGCTGGCTACGCAAAACAATCGCTCCGATTTCTTCTACGAGTGCCATGCCATCGATCAAAATTACTTGTTCGTGAGGGCCTTCCACATCCAAATGAGCCTTGCCTTTGCCAACGAGCACAGCTATATAAGCGTCTACTCTGCATAAATTTTATTGACGTAGTGCATTGTCTCGTTTAAGTATTTGGAACAGGAAAGAGTGAATCAGATGGCTAAAAGTCTTCAACTTTCACCAGATGGGTTAAAATGTGTTATGCGTTCTGTTCATGATCTTTGCAGCAGCTTGGTGTGCAGGACCGCAGCGGCATCAGTCTCAGTCTTTCCTGAGTGCCCCTCGTAAATCAAAAATACTCACTCTAATGGATCCTGGAAGCATGTTCTGGCTGTAATAATCCAGTGCGGATTGAGGATCGTTCCAGTACATCTAAATTTACCGTCCAAATAAATCACGGCGTTCCAAGGAGAAGTGTAAAGTTCCACTCGGCTGGTAACGTTATCTTGATGGAGTTTGTGTATGTTGTCGTCCAAAGACACATTCAAGCATCTGACAAAGAGGCCACCGCAAAGAGGGATCTCGTCTAATGAGGAACGGTTTCGCTGGAAGCCGTCGATTGTGGCGTTTACTGGCTTATCTGGCACGGATAATTTATGGAAAACTGTGTATTCTTCAAAGCCTAACAAATTGCAAACATTTGCGGCGATAGATGCGGCGTTGTCGACGGATGCGTTGGTGCAGAGTGGTCTCCAGACACCGAAACGATTGATTGTAATTATACCTTTCATGCTCTGCTTTGGACGTAAATCACTGTCGAACACTAATGTCCTGCCATCCGTAAGGGCGACTGCAAAGATAAATCCACTCGAAATTATTTAGTTTCGGCACCGATTCGCTAGCTACTCATTATACCAACAACGTGCTGTGTCATTAACGAAAAGGTAATGAAAAAGCTTTTGTGCAATCTTTTAAAAAGTAATGGAATGACTCACCGCAATCCCATTCATCTTCGGCGTTGATGCAGTCGCTTCGTCCATCACAGCGCCGAGCGGAGGGAACGCACTTTTGACTGATGCGGCAGAAAAACTGATCGGTGACGCACTTTGCTGGAATTTTGTATTTAACTTGGTAAACTACTGAATAAAACATTACAATGCAATTTTGACTTTCGAAAAAGTAGTAATAACGTTACTGCTATGTTTTTTTCACCAAAACTATTTACTCAGATTGGAAGAACTCTTCTCGAGAATTGTTAGGAGTTGAAATCTATTTTAGGGAAAGTATTTGAATTCTTCGACGTTGTTAAAAATCTACTTGAAAACATCGTCAGTACACGGGGAGAAAGTCGAGTCGCTATCGGAAAATACAGTATAACCTCTATAATCCGAACCCACGATTAACCGAACATCCAGTAATCCGAACAGAGGCTAGTTGAGGTCGATATCTCTTTTATCCGAAGAAAAACTCTGCAATCCGAACTGAACTTGAAAACATGCACCTACTTGCAAAAATGACGCAATATCTTTCTGTACGTGATGTATTGAATTTTTAAAAAATTGTGATGTTTCAATGCACTGTATTAATGAACTAATTCTGGTATTAAAAATTTCTGGAAAAAAGGTTGACGTTAACGAAGAAATGAGGCCGAAAGTAACTTCTGCGCCCCGAAATCTACAAGAAAAAGTATTTAGTTAAATTTAAGAAAAGGTTCTAGCCCCGCCCACCCACCCTTTGTTTTTTTAGAAGAGTGGGTCATCTGCTAAAATCAGTCTTATTTTAACAAGTACTAGCCCCGCCCACCCACCCTTATTTTCTTAGAGGATCTGTCATTTGCAAAAATCAGTCTCATACTTGCCAAAATAAGACTGATTTTGGCAGATGACCTATTCTTTATTTTCTTAGCGGGTAGGTTATTTGGCAAGTGCTAGCCCCACCCACCCGCCCATTGTTTTCTTACAGACTAGATCATTTGCCAAAATCAGTCTTATCGTAGCGAGGACTACTAGATTTTTCAGTTTTTCGATTTTTCAACTTTCGAATTATTCAATTTCTCGCTTTTTAAATTTTCGATTTTTTGATCTGTCTTTCGAGTTTTGATTTTTCTGGGCAACTGAAAAAAACTTTCGATTTTTTAATTTTACAATTGTGGCAGTTTTCCGATTTCTCAATTATTTGATTTTTAAAAATATCGAGAAAAAAGAGGTATATTTTTTTAAATTTTCGATTTTTGATTTTTTGTCACCGAATTTTTGGAAGGGAGTAAAAAGTAATTTTGATCAGCGATTGCCATGTTCACCGTAACTTTAAAACATCCATTTTTCGATTTTTCGATTTTTTAAAATTTCGGTTCGAATAAATTTGTTCTTTTAGTAAAAAATCCAAAAATGACAAATCGTGAAAAATTTCAACTTGAGACCTTGAAAAATTAAAAATCAAAAAATTCCAAAATTGTAAAGTTAAAACTTGAAAAATCAAAAGATTGGAATTAAAAACTGCAAAATTGTCAAAAAAATTATCAAATGAAATATTCAAAAGTTGAAAAATCTAAAAACTAAAAAAAATGAAGACAGGAATTTCGAATTCGATTTTATAAGATTTATTTTTCTTCAGTTTTCCGATATTTTACTTTTTGATTTTCCGATTATACAGTTGTACAATTTTCCGATTTCTCATTTATCTGATTTTTCAATTTGTTATTTTTTGATTTTTAATTTTTTTATTTTTAGCAAGCACTAGCCCCACCCACCCAGCCTTTATTTTCTATGAACAGTGGGTCATCTGCCAAAATCAGTCTTATTTTAACAAGTACTAGTTCCACCCACCCACCCACCCTTATTTCTTAATGTAGGTCATTTGCCAAAATAAGTCTCATCTTGATAAGTACTAGCCCCTCCGACCCACCCTTTGTTTTCTTAGAAGAGTGGGTCATCTGCCAAAATCAGTCTTATCTTGGCAAGTACTAGCCCCGCCCACCCACCCTTATTTTTTTAGAGGGTAGGTTATTTGGCAAGTACTACCACAGTATAAAATTTCATTTTTGAAAAAGTCATCTAAAAATTCAGAAAAAAATCAGAGATATATATATCCCGACGTGCTGATTCCAAAAATATAGCATGTTACGGAGCAATATTTTCAGAAAATTCGGTGTGAAATTCGGATTTTTCGAAATTTTTGAAAATTGCGATATTTCAATGGACGATTCTGGAAAAACGGTTGAAGTTATCGAAGAAATGAAGCCAGAAGTGACTTCTGTGGCCCAAAATCTACATGGAAGTATTTAGTTAAATTTCGAAAATCGTCAAGAATGGGTCGAAATTTGCATAAGGGAGATAATACTATTACATAATTTTTAATTAAGCCACAATGAAACAAAATGTTTTGAATATGATTATTATTATTCATATTTGATCATAATTAAATAAAAACATGGCTATTTTCACATTTTTCTAGAAAATGAGGTTCTTAATTTGTTCAATAAAAAATTGGTCGAAGGCTATAAGTACAATTCGACAAATCAAGCTCTTTAAAAGAATTATAAAATTTGATTTTGAGATTTTCGTTTCGTGATAACTGTAAAGTAAAAACCAGAGGCATAAATAACATCCCTTGTCCTTCAGCACTAGGTAATAGTAATCTGAAGCCCAAGTGTTTATTTATGTTTATACATTGAAATAATGTCACGTAGAAATTAGTTTGATTTGAATGAGTTTGTCTTCCCAAAACAAGACGAAAATTATTAATTACATCACAATGGAACAAAATGTTTTGAATATTATAATTCTTATTTTATCATTATTAGTCATACAAAGACCATATTTTCGAGAAAATGGGGTGACTCGTTCTTAATTTGACCAATGAAAAATTTGTGATGATGGCATCAACATGGATAATTCTAGTCACAGCACAAAAGAAAAGTAGTCACAGCGTTATACCAATGCAAGAAAAAAAAAGGAAAGGGCCAAGTTCGGCATCGAACCCCGAATCGCAGTACCGCACGGAGACGTACAAACCGTGTTGTGAATAAAACGTTATTATACCTTGCAAATGTTTTTGTGAAAATTTGAACGTTTAGCGAAAAAACTGAAAGTGTATAAGTATATTTTTGTGTAACATTTAATCATACTATTCATTGAAATGACATCAAATTGTTGGTAGGGATGATTAACTAAATTTTGGTTAGAATTTAAGCATCTACATGATATTTCTAATATACATACAAAATTTGACAACAATCGGTCCAGCAGTTTCAGAGATTACGTGTCTAATAGAAATGGATACAGACACCAGACAGACAGACAGACAGACGGAAATGGGGGACTGCTTTTTTCGTACTGTACGGGTCATGAAACGTCGAGAAAACATAAAAATGGTTATTCGTCCGATGGACTCGATTACAATATTTCCTTCGCTTACGCTCGAGAAATAATAAACACCAATAAAATAAAAAAGCGCCATATAGATAAGGAATTTTGTAAAACGTAAAGTCTTAGGAGATCAAGTATGAACACGGATCACTTCCTAGTGAGAATCGATAGTTACGGAAGAATGAGAATAAAATTAGAAGGGACAAAGAATAAAAGAATTTGATATGGAAAAATTAGAGGTAACAGATATTCAACAAAAATATAATAAAGAAATACAGCGGAGATGTCAGAAATAGAGCAGGATAGAGCACAAAGTGTGAACAAAAAATGAGAACAGTTAGAAAAGATAATAAAAACCGTTACAGAGAAAGCCATACTTAGCCAAAAAATACCAGAGAATAGACTCATGGTGGGACGAAAACTATGGAACAGAAACCGAAATGAGAAATTATGTGACGATAAAGGCAATAGAAACTAAAGGAACAGAAAATAAAGAAACATATAAAGAGCAAAAAACAAAAATTTACAAAAATTGAAGAACTTTACAAAGGGAAAGAAATCAGAAATTTCTACAGGGTAGAATGAAAATGAAAAAAGACATAATCAAAACGTATTTATAAGGGATAAGGAGGAAAATTTAATCGGAGAAGAAGAACAAATGAAAGAAAGGTGGGAAGTGTATTTCAGCGAATTACTAGACGGTGAATCAGAATCGGGACAAAGACAAATGGTGAAAGAAGATGATAAGGAAATAACGGAGCCAAAGCGGGAAGAAGTAGAGCCAATAATAGGGTGTATGAAAAGTAACAAGAGCCTTAGGCAGAACGGAATAACAAATGAAAATATTAAATATGCGGGAGAAGAACTGAAAAAAAGATTCAAGAATTGTTAAAGGATATTTGGAGGGAAGAGCAGATGCCGGAGGGTTGGGAAAAAGCTATTAAAATACCAATGCTGAGAAGTGGAAATGAAATGGGCTGTAATAATTATAGAAGAATATCTTTCTTAGATGTGGTTTACAAAATATTGGCCAGAAGCTAAACTGGAAAAAATAGTTGGACCGCAGATAGAGAAGCAAAAGAAATCAATACAATACTGAGTCAAGCCAATAGTATTGTGTAAATCATGAATATCTAATAACCGCATAATAATAAGATCAACAAACTATTAAGCCTATAGGAAAGAAAAATGATACGAACGCAAATAAAACGGACTGAAGATGGATACGTATGAAGAACTAATGAAGAGCTTTACGACTTTTACAAAGAACAAAAAATAGATATGATCATCAAAGCAAGAAAATTACAGTAGCAAGTCACATAGAAGAGATAGCATGGAAGACATACTGTTACAAGAAGAAAAGGGGAAGAACGAGGAAGAGATGGAGAGAAGCGGTGCTGAATGACCTCAAGGAAAAAGGTGTAATAGGTCTACACAAACATACCACAATCTGCCTCATCGGACATGTCTCTGCAATCAGTTACCCCATCACAGATTGCTTCTTCATGAAACCGGTGAAGGTAATCTACACACGAACAATCCAATTCGTCAGTTCCGTCTTCACAGTTGACTACTTGATCGCACTTTTCATGTGACGGAATTATCTGGAACATACTTAACAACACACTGAGCAAGCTTTCATCAACAAACCATCCAACTATACTTTTTGCACGTGAAATTACTCAAAAAAATGTCATCGTCTAGGTAGTTTCGTATTGTAGGTGTTCCCGTCTTGATTTCAAACAAACTTGAAGTACTATTTCTTGATTCTTCACTTTCGACAGA